TATAGCAGAATTATATTTATTTTGTAATCTGAATTTATTCACAAATGTAAAACAGTAAATTGTTTATTTAAATTGTATACATGTTGATTTAATTCATTCTGTAATATATAATGACAAAAAAACACCAAAATCTCAATGTACTAAGTTACTGTAATTATATAATTAACCTTTTCATATATTCCAGATAAGTGTGTATGTGTGTGTGTGTGTGTTTGAGTGTGTGTGAGTGAGTGTGTGTGTGTATGTGAGTGTGTGAGTGTGTGTGTGTTAGTGTGAGTGTGTGTTAGTGTGAGTGTGAGTGTGTGTGTGTGTGTGTGTTTGTATGTGTGTGGACAGTGGCTGATTGGCACACAAAAAATGCTCAGTCATTGGCTCATTTAATTCTTTGGTTTTGTATGTGTGAGTGACTGTTTTATTCGACAAAATAAAAAATAAAAAACCCGCTGTGTTATAGGCTCATAAAAACAAAACAAAATGATTTTGCCCAAATTTGGACACTTGAGGGTTAAAAAGTTTCAAAGTCTTGTCAAACCTCTCTATCTAATTAATAAATAAAAGATGACTGTGTGTGAAGTGAGTGTAAGGTGTCTGTCGTGTCTTCAGCTGTGTGTGGACAGACTGATGGACCAGACGAGTCCCACGCTGAACACCATTAAGATGCAGGTTTACTTCGACATGAACTACACATCTCGACGTAAGTGTAAAAACAAACAGCAATCCAGACACACATTTAGGTGAACCGACTGCGTTGAGTGTGTGTGACTGACTGTCTGTGTGTCAGGTGAGTTTCTGGAGGTTCAGCAGAAGGTCCTGCGGTAACGCTCGCGCACATGTGTGTATATGTGAGTGTGTATGTGTGTGTAACCACCTCTGATTGGCTGCGAGCAGAAGCTGGCGATGCATTCTGGGATGGATTACGCCATCATGACGGGAGGAGACGTGGCGCCGATGGGCCGAGATGGAGTGACGGCGATGCACAAGGTGTTTGACTGGGCCGGAACCAGCGGCCGCGGGTGAGGAAACATATTAGAATCATGAATTCTATAATTACATTCAATACTTTCATAAATGTTTATTTACATTTATGAAGAATAAAATATTGTTGTTATATTTAAATTATGTAAAATGTTTTTACATAAAGCTGATATATGCTTTATATATATATATATATTTATAGTAAATTATTTTAAACTATTTTATTATTAACAAGTGTAATACTGTTCATCGTTATTTAGTTTTTTTAGTTTGCGTATACCAGCATAAATTAAATCATGACGTAAAAACACTTTCTATAGTTTAAAAATAATTTAAAATAATAATAATGTATGCTGATGCAGACAAAAATATTGACGTTGCTATATTGATATATGAATATTGACATACTTTATTCGATTTGCTTATAAATATTTATTTAGATGTAATATACTCTTACATATTTATAATACTCTTAATATATTTATTTAACAATTTAAAGAAATTGTTAAAATAAATATATGTATTTTTTATATATTCACAGACTCACTCACTCACTCACTCACTCACACACACTCACAGACTCACTCACTCACTCACTCACTCAGACACACACACACAACACTACACACACAGGCTAAATAACGTACTCAGAATAAAGCAGACTGCACAAGATCCTGTGTCCCACAATGCACTGCACTCAACTGCACATTCAGCTGCACATGACTCATTAGTTCAGATCACTGTTATTTTAGTAGTTTTTATAATATTTATACTATATCCTCTATCATACTATGTATTTATTATACTATTTATACTTATATTTACTATTAGTATTTTGAATTTTGTTACTTGCTTTTTGTCATTTGTATTTTTTTGCTTTAGTTTTATTTATTTTTATTATTTGTTTTTAGCTTACATTTTTAGTTTATTTTAGTGCATAATTTTAGTACCTGCTTTTTGTTTTTTCTTTTAACGATTTGATTCAGTATAACATTGATTTAGACTTTTAAAACTGGATTAAATGCTGCATGATGCTCACTGAACTGAACGTGACCTGACATGGTGTGTGTGTGTGTGTGCGTGTGTGTGTGCGCGCGCGTGTGTGTGCGCGTGCGTGCGTGTGTGTGTGTGTGTGAGTGTGTGTGTGTGCGCGCGCGTGTGTGTGTGTGTGTGCGTGCGTGCGCGCAGGAGGCTGAAGCTGGCTCAGTTTGATTACGGGCTGAAGTGTTCGGAGATTGCGAAGCATGTGGAGGGAATGTCCGGACGAGAAATCTCCAAACTCGCAGTCGCCTGGCAGGTTTGTTCGTCCGTGAACGACGTTAACGCTGCACGCAAATACATTCAAACTTCTAAATCAAAATGATTGAAATAGTCACTCAACAACAGAAATGGAATCCGTGTTTAAATGTTTGTGTGATGAAGCGTGTGCCGCAGAGGCTCATGGGTAATGTGTGTGTGTGTCAGGCTGCGGCGTACTCCTCCGAGGATGGTGTACTGACCGAGGCCATGATCGACGCGCGGGTGGATGACGCCGTGAGACAGCACCGGCAGAAGATGGACTGGCTTCATGGAGAAGGGGTTCTGGTTAACGAGGGCCGGCCGACGCCCACCAAAGGCTCCGCGCCGCCGCTCAAGGCACAGGAAGTGCTCCGCCCTCTACAGGAAGTGCCATGAGACCGGAGCAAACGCGACGTTTGGAGTAACGATTAGAGCTGCAGTAGTGTCTGTCTGTTGTGTGTTTGTGCTGCTGTTTACTGATCACAAGTCTGTAACTTTAATTCACTGTTAATAATCACTGAGAAACTGGAAACAAGTCCACATGAAATCAATGGAAACTGTTTTTATGTCTGACAGTAAAGCAATTTTCGTTTCTTATGACGTCTGTTTTGAGTTTGAATGGAACCAGTTATGATTTGCAGCTCATTGACAAAATAACCAGATCATTTTACGAAATACTGTCACTTGCCAACACAATGTAAATGATTTCGGATAAAAGTATCTGCTAGATTAATTATGAATTAATTTTAACATCAATTTAATACAATCAAATTAATATAGCTGAGTCAAAAACACAGCGATACAAAAAAAGACTGCAGTTGATGACTGCAGCTTTTCGTCTACAAGAATCGTCCGATCAAACTGATTCACCAAAATGATTCGGACTCTTCAATGCTAGATCCGAGATCTGTTTAAGATGAACCGACTCTCTAGAAGATATCGAACCTTCCAATATTACGTATAAGAACGAGATCCGTTTAGAACGAACCGACTCGCTAGAAAGAATCAAACTTTCCGAAGAGCGAGAAAGATCCGTTTAGGATGAACTGAATCGCTAGAAAGATTCGAACTTTCCGAAGCTACATATTAAGAGCGATCCATTTACTCCATTTTCACACCATAGTATATTCAAGCAGTTCTGATTTGCTGAAGCAGCTGAATTCTCCCAGCTATGATTATTGATCTACTGACAACTGCTGAATGCTTAAAAGATACGGTATAATAATTTCAGCTACGCGTATTACTGACAAATGCACAGAATCAAGCATTACAGCTTTCTTAGACAAACAAAATCGTCAATGAAATAAATTATATATCCATAAATACTTATTTCAGAGAAACAGCAGGCACGCGTTTATTTATTTTTATTATGCAGTTGTGTACAAAATTAGTATACATCTCACAATAATTATGAAAAAACATGAAAAATGGCATACATTATATACGTCAAGGGTAAGAAATTAAAGCATTTAATTAACCAAATTAAAGTGACAGTGCTTCTTTTCAGCTTTTCTGTGGCGCACCAAACGTAGCGGACGTCGCCCCGAGACGCGTGACGTGCGCGCTCCCGAGCGGAGGGAAGATGGCGGATGTTTGGAGTGAGGCGCTTGATGAGAGCAGCTGATAAAGAGAAACACAAATAACAGCAGAAAAGCAGAAGAAGCGCGGACGAGAGACGGACAGAGACACCGGCAGACAGGTAAACACGCGCGTCCGTCTCACGGCACGCGTGTAATCACCTTCATCATCATCAGACGAGAATGAACCGGCTGTTAGCGCTCAGCTATTGAAGCAGCAGCTGAAGATACTCTCGATTTACCCCTCGTTACTCTACTACACGCGCGTACTGTGCTTCACGAGTAACTATCAGCGTAAATACAGTAAACTGATCATCTGACGCGCGGCATTAATCAGATCAGAGAAAACAACACAACTGTAGCGTCATTGACGCGGCTCTCGGCTGCTCTGATGTGATGTTTGACAGCCTCTGTTATTAACGACGCTTTCTTACGACCAGTGACGTGAGCAGTGACACACGTGATCAGGATCTGAGATGGTCTTGTCACGTGGTCTTACTCAGCGCTGTTTACTCTCAGATCCGCAGACGGCGTCATGTCCGGCTGCGCAGACGGCGAGGACAGCTGCGCGGTTGCCATGGAGACGGAGGAGGTGCAGCCGGGCGAGCGCAGCATGGGCGAGCTCCCCGAGGAGGTGCTGGAGTTCATCCTGTCCTTCCTGTCGCCCTACCAGGAGCACAAGACGGCCGCGCTGGTCTGCAAGCAGTGGTACCGCCTCATCAAAGGTCAGCGGGGGTCACGCGCTTGAGTCACATGATCCCTCGGACCCGCTTCGGAACGATAATTGTAACCGCTAAGTTTTAATAATCACTCTCTAGTCTACGAGAAAATTGCCACATCACACCTATAGTGATAGCGACACCAAAAAATCGTTGGTTCACTTTTAAAGAGATTTTTCCCAGCTCATGAACACCAATAACACTGACAGCCAATCAGAATCCACCGACTTTCCAACTGCAGAAAAAATAGTTATCGTTAAAGTTATCATTATAGTTATTGATGAGGTCCGCATTATCATCATTTTTCATAGTTATCGTTATAATACTACGTATTAATACAAATATAGTTTTCGTTATAGTTTTCCTTATTGTTACAGTTACTAGTATAGCTAACGTTATCGTTACAGTTGATATCATTGTAATTATACTTACCATTATCGCTATAGTTATTGTTGCATTTATAGTTGTCATTATCATTAAAGTTATAGTTATCATAGTTGCCATTATAGTTTTCGTTATAGTTGTTATTATTACTCTTATAGTTATCGTTATTATTATCGTTACCATTATAGTCAGCACTATAGTTATAGTTACTGTTATAGTTATCGTTATAGTTATCGTCATAATTACCAGGATAGTTATTGTTACTTTAGTTACTATTATAGATATTGCTGTAGTTATCGTTATTGTAAATACCGTTATAGTTGTCATTGTAGTTATCATTATAGTGATTATAGTTAACGTTATAGTTAACAATATTATAGTTACTGTTGTAGTTCGCGCTGTAGTTAATATTGATAGTTAATGTTATTGTAGCTATTGTTGTAGTTTTTACAGTTACAGTTAAAGTTATCATTGTAGCTGTCATAGTTGTTACTATAGTTATAGTTATCGTAATAGTGACCTGTGCGGTTCTGGTTGTAGTTGTGGTTCACAGTGTGATGCAGTGCTGTAGCGCTGTGATTGTGTCATGTGACACTGGGATGTCAGATGAGTTTAACGGTCAGTCAAGACACAACAGCTGAGAATGTGAATCACCACAGCTGTGTGAACGACCCTTTAACAGCCGTCTCTCTCTCTCTCTCACTCTCACTCTCACACTCTCTCTCTCTCTCTCTCTCTCTCTCTCTCTCCCAGCCCGAGCGCTTCTTCGACGAGATACACACCTACTCGCCCTCCAAGAACTGGTGAGAGGCGCTCACATCTTCACCAGAATAAACATTGTTTAGTCACAAATCACCTTTCATTTGTTCCCCAAATTACAGTAGACTTTCACCTCGAAATTCTGTTTCTCATTTGAATTCTTTGGGATTTTGTTTTAATGCTAAATTTTGATCATCAAAAAGTTTGTCTAATTTCTAAGATTTTAACAATTAAATAATTAAAATTTTAGCAATAATATGGCCATATGAAATGTGCTTTATTTTAATGTATTCTGTTTTAAGATTTAATAAATTTTGTATCTTAATGTAGTAATCAAATTAATTAAAACTTTAACAATTTAATAATTTATAGTAGGGTTGCAATAAGGTGAAAAATTTCCGGTAAATTTCTGGAAACTCTCCAAAAATCCCTGGAATATAAAAAAAAAAAATCCTGGAAATTTTCCACCTTTTTGCAACCGTAATTTATAGTAAAAAATGTAATTTTTTTTTATAGTAGTTATTTAATAATAGTGTCCTATGAAATGTTTTATTTTTCTGGATTCAGTTTTAATACTTTATGTAAATTTGAATCATCAAAAACCTATCTAATCAATTGAAGTAATAAAAATTTAACTATTTAGTAATTTATTAAATTTTTTAACAATAATAGAGCCCTGAGAAATTTTATTTCATTGTTATTAAAAATAATTTTTCTGCATTCTTTGTTTTATTATTGAATACAAATTTAGCTAATCAAATATAGTAATCAAATGAATTCATAAAACTTTAACAATTTAAAAATTTTAACAATAATAAGGCTCTATGAAATGTTTTATGTTTCTGGATTTCTTAGTTTTTTTTGGTTTATTAGAATGCATCATTAAAAATATAGTAATCAAATGAATTCAGAAAACTTTAAATAATTTATTAAAATATAATGAAAATATAACAATCCTTTTACATCAAAACATTTTTATCAAATACAATATTACTCTAAGGTTGACTGTAGAAATTAAAACATGGATCAAATAAATATTTTGACTGTGTGATATTCCTTAACATGTTTTAATAGATTAAATAATTATTGTATTTTATACAACAGTAATGTATATCAGTCATAATTTCAAGCCAAGCTTTTATTTTGGCATTTGTTGTGAAGATCTTTGAGTTTGTGTTTGTATTTAATGAACGTTTTTGTCAAATGAAATGGTGCATAGTGTGACTCAAGGGAAGCTGTGTGTGTCAGACAGGAAGTGTGAGCCTGTAACTCCGCCCCTCTCTCGCCCGCAGGTGGAACTGCATCGTGACGACTCAGGGGCCGCCACCGATGGCGGGACACTCGTCCTCCGTGATGGGCAGCACTATGGTGGTGTTCGGAGGCTCTCTGGGCGCGCGGCAGATGTACGTATGAGGCGAGAGAGTCGGCCGCGAGCGATCGAGTGGCGTGTTTATCCTGTGTGTGTTTGTGTCGCAGGAGTAACGAGGTCTGGGTTCTGGATCTGGAGCACTGGTCCTGGTCCAAACCGGCCGTCAGCGGCCCATGTCCTCACCCTCGCGGGGGACAGTCTCAGGTAACACTGCCTCCTCAGTCTCTCACTGACTCCCATGATGCTGTGAGTCTGAGCCGCTCACTGTGTCGCCTCGTGTTCCTCAGATCGTGATCGACAGCGACACACTGCTGATTCTGGGCGGCTGCGGCGGACCAAACGCTGTGAGTATCTGCTGAGTGTGTTTGTGTGAGTGTGTGAGTGTGTTTGTGTGAGTGTGTGTGTGTGAGTGTGTGTGTGTGTGAGTGTGTGTCTGTCGGTGTGTGTGAGTGTTTGTGTGTGTGAGTGTGCGTGTGTGAGTGTGCGTGTGTGAGTGTGCGTGTGTGAGTGTGCGTGTGTGAGTGTGCGTGTGTGAGTGTGCGTGTGTGAGTGTGCGTGTGTGAGTGTGCGTGTGTGAGTGTGCGTGTGTGAGTGTGCGTGTGTGAGTGTGCGTGTGTGAGTGTGCGTGTGTGAGTGTGCGTGTGTGAGTGTGCGTGTGTGAGTGTGCGTGTGTGAGTGTGCGTGTGTGAGTGTGCGTGTGTGAGTGTGCGTGTGTGAGTGTGAGTGTGTGTGTGTGTGTGTGTGTGTGTGAGTGTGTGAGTGTTTGTGTGAGTGTGAGTGTGTGTGTGAGTGTGAGTGTGTGTGTGTGAGTGAGTGTGTAGAGATGCGCTGCAGTGACCGTCTGTGTGTGCAGCTGCTGAAGGATGCGTGGCTGCTGCACATGAGCGCCTCCCCCTGGACGTGGCAGCAGCTGCGTGTGGAGAACGAGGATCACGGCGCACCGGAGCTCTGGTGCCATCCGGCCTGCAAGGTGAGCCTTCAAATGTTCACTTCCTGAGTTAGAGAGCTGAGATAAAAACATATTTACTTTTTATAGTTGTGATTAAAGTCAAAATTCTGAATTTAGATCTTGTAATTCTGACTAAACTTGCGAGAAAAATTGTCTGAATTGTGAGATAAAAAGTTATGACCTTTTTTTTTTATTCCAGACAAAAACAAAAAACAGGTGTGTGAGAAACTCAGAATTCAACGAAAAAACGGCAAAAAAACAGATGAACAGAAATCAGTCCCCAATTTATTTATTTATTTTATTTATTTATTTATTTATTTTGGTAATCTGTTTCACTCAGATGTATGTCACAATTTAGATTCACAGTCTGGATTTGAAAGGAGTCATATTTGCAAGATGTGAAATTATAATTACGAAAAAGTCATAATTATGAGATGTAAAGTCAGAATCGCAAAAAAAGTCTGAATTGTGAGATATAAAGTCAGAATTACAAAAAGGTCATAATTGCAATTTGTAAAGTCATAATTATGAAAAAGTTAGACTTGTGAGATGTAAAGTCAGAATTTAAAAAAATCAGAATGGCGAGATGTAAACTCAGAGATTTGTTGCTACATTGGTTACATCACGATTTTCATTCAATTTAGCTGAAAAGGAGCCGCAGTATGTTGACCAGTCTCTCTCTCTCTCTCTCTCTCTCAGGTGGGTCAGTGTGTGGTGGTTTTCTCTCAGGCACCGTCGGGGCGAGCTCCTCTCAGCCCGAGTATGAACTCTCGCCCCTCCCCCATCAGCTCAACGCCCGCCCCTCTGGGGCCGGAGTGTGTGTGTGTGTGTGAGTGTGTGAGAGAGAACTCTAGAAGGGAATGTTTTATTGTTCCATCTGACTGAAGGAAACAGGAGGAACTGATGAAATGGACCTTTTTTACCGCTCTTGCAGTCTGCAATGTTTACATTAAACGTGTGTGTGTGAGAGTGTGATGGTGCTGGTGAGGGAATGAGGCTGTGGATTGTAAACAGAAATAAAGTTCTCCATGTCTTAATTCTCTGGTATAATGTTGCGTGTGTTTTTACGATCTCTACTATAACAGAATAAAGCTGCTCTTCAAACAACGTCTCAATTCACACATGATACATTGTAATGTCATTATTGCTTTATTTTAGAATTATACATTTAAAAACTGCATCTTCAGCTTTTATTTCAGTTATGGTTATTTGAGGCAGTCCGAACCAATGCGGACACGGGCTATTATAATTTTAACGATTTTAGTATTTTTAATATTTAAAATGAATTTGTAAAATAAAGTATGTAAATATGTTTTATATAAGTATATACATGTATAATTTTATTTAATGTTTGTATTTTAACATTTCAATGTATATAATTTAATATTAATTAATGTTTAGTCAATTTATTCATCATTATATATTTAATATTATTTATTTTTTACATTTTTAACAGTTTGTGTTTGTACCTGCTGCCGTCAGTGGTTTGTGTAGTTCACTCACTGTGTTTGTTCTGGATTCGACTCGAGAATGTGAACGTGCGTAATTCACCTTTAACCCATATGAATTGAGTCTGCGGAGCTCCGAGCTGATTGGCTGAACGCTGGGGAGGCAGAGAGGTGGAGAAGCAGCCGCGCGGTGATTGGTCAGGGAGCAGATGTGGGCGGGGCGTTCACTCCAGCGCTTCGTGTTTACCAGCGTGTGAGTCACAAGCAGAGACGCGTTCAGACTCGGTAAGACGCGCTCAAACTGACCCAATAATTGTGTAGCGTGATGTACAGTTTATAAGTTTAACGGGTTTTGTATTTAGCTTATGTAAAGCATAACACAGAGAATTAAAATAAATGTTACGATGATTTCATGAATATGCAAATGAAGTGTCATAAACTTACACAGATATGATATATTCTTTACGAAAAATAACTATTGTAGTAACCATGTTTTTTTGGTTGATTGGTTACCATTTGTATTACCAGTGTTTTGCTACAAATGTCATGGTTAAACTATGGTTGGTGTAGTAAATCCATGGTTACTGTGTTTTTTTTGGTTTTATATGTAGTAGGTTGATTTCTGGAAGGGTTGCATAGCATTCTGTCTAGTCAGCTTGTTCAGTAGTGTTTGATTGAGCAAGGCTTGTTCATAAATCATTGTGATGACTGTAACTTCTGGCCTGTTTCAGATTTGAATCCTGGACGTCAGAAGCGCTTCCGCACAATTCTGCAGTGTGGACATATTCAGACTGAGCGAAACACCAACTGAAGCATGATTACATACATGAATACTGTGAGATAACACACACACGACACAGCGCACACGCTCCTGCAGGATCGGTGGTGGATGACATGTGCTTCCTTCACCCAGACATGCCCGTCATGCGGCTCATAAACTCTCCGTTCGCCCCGCAGGCCCCCATCACGCCCGTCGGCCCTCGGGCCCTGTGGCCCCCGCTGGACTTCACGCTGGGCGCGCTGGCGTGCTGCGGCGCATGTGTGTTCACCAACCCGCTGGAGGTGGTGAAGACCCGACTGCAGCTGCAGGGTGAGCTCCAGGCCCGCGGCTCCTATCAGCGGCACTACCGCGGCGTGCTGCAGGCGCTGTGGGTGGTGGGCAGCACAGACGGCCTCCGCGGCCTGCAGAAGGGGCTGACGGCGGCGCTGCTGTACCAGGGCCTGATGAACGGGGTGCGGCTCGGGTTCTACTCCTACACAGAGGCCACGGGACTCACGGACGCGCCGGGAGGGAGTCTGATCTCAGGAGCTGCGGCAGGAGCTCTGGGCGCGTTTATCGCCTCGCCGGCGTATCTGGTAAGAGACTCACCCCGCTCACACTGACACTAAATCAGCCTGTGCTGTTGCTTGTGTTTCTGCAGATCATGTGATCACATAACGTGCGAAACGTTGCTTGTGTCGCATCACATGAAGTCACGTGACCGGAACATTGCTAGGTCTCGGTTGTGATCTCTTGTCTGAATTAAAAGAACGCAAAGTGCAGTAGATTGCATATTTTTGCATTTTAGATTATACGTTCCACTGTGGTTTTAGAAAAGGTGCCACAGAGTGTGACATCATATCATGACCGTCGCAGTGTCCATTCGTAGAAATTTCACATTCTCAAAGTGTAGTGTGACGCAGCTGAACACTTAAACATCTCGCAGCGTCGAGGCACTTGATTCTGTTGGCCAGGATTCGTGGTTGTTTACCGTGTTTAACCGACTCATTTTCAGGAACAGTTGGGAGCCGTAACTGGAGTTGTTGTCCGTTTGCTGCTGTGTCAATCACTGCGGCATTGCATGCGTGCACACACTCACACACACACACACATACACACACTCACTCTCACATACACACACACACACACAGACACACTCTCACACACACACACACACACACAGACACACTCTCTCTCACACACACACTCACTCACACACACACACACATACACACACTCACTCTCACATACACACACACACACACAGACACACTCTCACATACACACAGACACACTCTCACATACACACACACACTCTCACATACACACACACATACACACACACACACACACACACAGACACACTCTCACATACACACACACACTCTCACATACACACACACACACTCTCACACACTCACACAGACTCACACACAGACACACTCTCTCTCACACACACACTCTCTCACACACTCCCTCTCACAAACTCTCACATACACACACACACACACATACACACACACACACTCTCATATACACACACACACACACACACACATACACACACACACACACACACACACACACACTCTCTCTCACACAC